TATTGAAAATTTGAAATGTAATTTTTTTATCTCTTAATTTATTTTATTTGTATATTATACAATTAAAATTTAAAATTTTTTATTGATATAAAAAAAGATTAGCACCGAGCATGTTTTTAAATAGGCAATGGGGCAAATAGTATAGGTTGTTTACGGTTTAGGTTTAAAAAAAAAAAGGGGCAATGGGGCAAATGGTTTAGGTTGGGTTAATTAAAGAATTCCAGCTAACTTGACCTTCTTTTAAAATTACATATCAATATTCTTATTTACAATAGATTGAAAAATGGGATGAAAGTTACTAAATCTTATCATGTAATCTTGTCTTGTTTATTAGTACCTTTGTCTTTTTTAAAAGTTAAAAGATGAGATGAAGGTTCTAAGTAGTTTATTATTTTTTATATATATAAAAGGTTTTAAGTTTGAGTTAATAAGTAAAATAAATGGGATAGATAAAGAAAAAGAATGTTATTTTTTATTATATAATTTAAAATAAAAAATTAAAAAAGAAACATTAAAGACAGTTTTTTTTTTTTTAAAACAAGTTTGAAATAAGAGAAGCAAGATCGGTTTGGAAGATGCACTGATCAAGATGGATAATGTCATTAGGGCGATAGCTCAAGTGCAATTAAAGACACTCTGTAATACTCTTTTTTTTTAATATTTTTAATGTGATTAAATTGTATAAAATAGATTTCATGTGATTTAAAATGTATATTGGTGGGTTGAATAAAATATGTATTTGAGTTTCTAACATTGTAAGTACTCTTATGAAAAAAGTAATATATAATTTTAACAACATAATTTTAATTATTAAATAAAGTTAATCTCTTATAATATTAAAATAAATTTTTTTAATTTAATAATTTTTATTTTATAATTTAATATAATTTAACTATAAAACATGAAATTATACTCTTACTTATATAGTAAATAACTAAAATGACAGATTTAGAGCAAGGAAAAAAAGAAAAAAAAATCCACGAATCCTTGAGGAATATTCAGATTTTATGCATTTCACATTTGATGTCAGTGTTTAAGACAACCACCATAAAAGAAAAGCTGACCATTTGGTTATTCCTTGAAAAAAAAACAAAAGCAACAACAAAAGGGTAATATAATCGGAATTAAGGTTATTATTATCGTTAGGTTACCAATTTTAATATAATTTTATTAATTTATAATTTTTTAAATAATTAATTATAATATTTAGAAATATTTATTTATAAATTAATTTTAATTTATTTAATAATAAATTTAATTACTTTAAGGTTTCTTCTCTCAAAAGCTTCGTTTATTTATTTATTTTTGTTTTCTTTTTCTACTTTTTAACTTTGTTGCATTATGGT